AAAAAAAAAATTTACGTTTGAATGCTTCCAATTTTTTGGAACTTTTTTTTGTCCACACCTTTTGCCAAACCCTTTTTGCCCCACTGTGTCTCGGTGGTACTAAATTTGAAAACAATTTTCCTGCTTTTAAAACTTTTTTACGTTTTTAATTCAAAGTATTTTAATTTGGATTGGTATATGTTCAGTGCATCTTTGATTTTTATAATTAAACAGACGCTTCTGTTCATCAACGTCTAGTTTTAAAAACTATCCAAATTTTATTTTTTTTCTTCTCTGCCAAATAAATCTCAAAAAATTTGCTAAGTACCCTCTTTTGGCATGCTGGTCCCTTATTTTGCCACCGCGCCCTATTTCGTTGCAATGCAAACTTTGCCGCCTCAATGTCCGAATTCACAGAACTCCTTGCAGATGTCATCGATGACACTACGTTTTATGCGTTTCCACGACATGCGTTGTTGCTTCGATTCCAACATATACGTTATCAGCGCATGTACGCAGTCAAAATACAGCAGTCCAGCGGTACCTTCGCGCAAATCCAAATATCGAAAGCGATTCACATTGCAGGTGCAGCCATCATAAATGAAATAGATTTTATGCTCATCATCGTGTGCGCGGAAAATCACGTAATTTCCCCAGGGTGTCATGATGAAGACACGATCGGCACAGCGCATGCCAGCGCACACCAATTTGCATAGACTTTCGTAGCTGCCGCTTTCCGAGCCGACAACGGCCATGCGTTCGGGTTCCTCCAAAATACCGGGGTAATGATTTGGTCGGCAAGCGATGGCTCCCCTACAGCAGGCATCTTCCGTGTAGCGGCATGGCAGATCGGCAGTTTGCTTATCATTGCATTTGGGTTCAGCAGGCGGTGGTGGTGGTGGTGCCTCCGGCTGCGTTTCCTCCTGCAAAGTCTCAACTGGCGCCGCATTCGTTATGACGCTGCCCTTGCCCTTGCCCTTGCCCTTGCCTTTACTCTGCTTTCCTTTCTTTCCCTTCTCTGCTGGAGTATCAGAAACAATGCTTTCTTTGCGGCCGTTTTTACCCTTTTCGTCTTTTTTTCCACCCTTTTTGCTTTGTTTGCCATTCTTTGCCATTATGTAATAGTTGAGGAGAGGGTGCGCTTATTTGATTTAAAATTTTGATAATTTTTATTAATTTCAATACGAAAACAATTTTGTTTATATTACAGATTTGATTAAAGAAATTCCCATGGTACCCCTGATTCAATAATGATTGAATCATGGATTGAATTATGAGAAAATTCATACGGCTTATGACCAGATTCATACCATGTAAATACACCATTATGTTAACAAATTATGAACAACATACCCACCCGATCAACGTACACGAACTTTACTTTACTTTTACTTACTTTTAATGTTTTGAAATATTCTTACAAAATTTTTATTAAAGCGATGCCTCCTTCTATGTACATATATGTATATTTTTTGAATATTTTGTCCGAGAAAGGTTAGTAAAAAATTATAAAACAAATACAGTCTCGATGCCTCCAACGCATAGAAAAGCAAAAATACAAACTTCCGTTTGAAATGCGAGATTCTTAGGGCGCGTTCACACAGCAAGTCGAACGGTGCCGAGCGAAGCAAGGCGGAACAAAACGAAGCTGCTGCTGTTCACACTGAACGAAGCGAAGCGGAGATTTTCTCATGGCCTTGGCTGCAAAGATACCACAAAACTTTCGATCAATGAAATGTGGCAAAATATATTTGCTCAATTTTATTCAAAAGAAAAAAAATCCAAAATCAAAAACTTCTTTGCTTTCAGCTTCAAAACGCTTATGAAAAAGCTAACTGTATGAACACTTTCATATAGCTACAGCGATTCGAAAGCTTCACTTTGCTCGGAACGGCTTCGCTCGGCTCGGCTCCGCTTTCAGTGTGAACGTAGCCTTAGTAAGCCACGTTTTATAAATTCATAGCATTTGTATACATATGTACATATGTAAATAAATACATGCAGCCATATGCATTTCGAAAGAATTATGTATTTCTCCAACAAAGTGTAAGCGCTTCGTTGACTAAATATTAAAGTTGACAAGCGTAACAGTGGTGCAGCCCGTTGTTGATGTCCAGCGGACAGCGCACTAATGCAAACAGGTAAAATTATTTACGGGCACACATATCACACAAAAAAAATATTGCTGAGGTCGTTTGCAGATTCTGCAGTTTTGAGACATAGAGTGAATGGATACGTATGTATGTACCAGGCGGGATTTCGCAATGATGCCATGAAACATTGCCGACAATTTATAGGCAAATGCAATTTTAAATTACGCTAAACGTTCGGTTAATCACCAAAAAAAATAAAACAATACTTTAATGTATTTCTTAAGATTTACCATCTCGTTTGTATGCATGTAAGTATATACATACATATGTCTGCCGCCGTTGATTGAAAATAGAATAAAGCCGATATAATCATAAAATTTCCCTTCACTGCAGTGCAGTGCGCACAACTTCCTTGACGATCAACCGCTGCGATGAGGAAATAACTGTATGTAGAGTCATACATTGTTAACCCTAACGAGATACAGTCTTTGTCGCATTGGTGACCTAGGCACAAAACAAAAACTATTACTTTTATGTATGCACTTTACTACATACATACATGCACATACATATATACATACATATGTATTTATCTACTTATAAGTATTTATGACTTTTTAATAGCACGCGCACTCACATATTGCAATAAAAAAATGTTTGTGTCTTTTTTTGGCCGATGAGTGGCCTTTTTTATTCATATTGGATGCGCTCCACGCTTGCCGCTCGTTTGTTGCAGTAGCACAATTGTGATGCTGCTGCCTGTGTGAACTGACGATTGGCGGCGATTGCGTCAGGATTCAACAACAAAACCCGCCAAGCGCATAACAACCGAAAAAGTGAATGGATACATTTTGTCTATTTAGAAATCCAGCGGCCATAAGCAACTCGATTGGATGCAGAAGCGCATGCAAAATAGCAAAAATAAAACCGAAAAAAAGGTGACTGAGCATTGATGTCGATGCATTTATATGTATGTATACAGCCACGAGCAGTTAATTTTCCTTCCAAGAATTGCTGCTAGTCATGCAAGATTTTCCTTCCTGGCTATAGTAATGTGCGCTGGTTCAAACTTTAAATATTTATTTACTTAGTTAAATGTATATAAATAAAATGTAAATCAGGATTTCTTTCGTTCAGAAAAATGAAGTATTCACTGATTCAATCTTTAAGGGCCAAATTCACAGTGCGTAGTTAACTCAGAACCGACAGTTAACTATAGGTTTTTGTACTGAGAATCTGTAGTTAACTACCGATTCTGAGTTAACTACACACTGTGAATTTGGCCCTAATACATCAGTATTGAGAGTGATGTGAATAATGTAAATTCACTTCAAAGAACTCTTTCGTAATCACGTTGCAGGCATATATTTCCTTTCACTTTGCTGATCGCAGGCCGCACTAAAAGATGGCTGGGCGCGCGGGTCCATTGACGCTGATTAGGTCTCTCCCCAGCCGAAAATTTCGACAGTCAAAGAATTTTTGGAGGCGCGGCAGAGGCACGTGTATTAGGGCTAGGACTATCAGGGTGTTTCTAATGAAAATATTTAATATTTTGAAGTTTTTATCATCAGATTTTGCTTTCTTCGGCGACTTGCAGTAAAGTTCTTCAATGCATATTTTTATAATAGATAATTTTACCTTCCTAACTCCACTTTTTTAAGAACTTCTTCTTAACTTCTTCTGACTGTCACGGGAGCAGTTAACGGGTTAAGAAATTGGTGTTTTCGAAAAGGTACTGATGTACTCTAAAGGATTTTCCGTCAGTCCTTATCAAATTTGGTTTGTAGATAAACCGATTTTGGCGTTGTATCATAATCAGTCATTTTCGCTAAAAAAAAAATTGCAAAGAAAGTTCTCGCTAAGTTTTGTTATAAGTATCTGAAGACAAGTTTTGTCTTGTTTTTGAATGCATTTATTTTTATTAATAATAATACTACCCAAAATTAGATAAAGACTCAGTTATATTGGGCTCGCGTTGTCGGACAATTTTTTTTAACTTCAGCATTTTAACCCTCTAACGGGTAGTATATGAATAACCCGTGATGGTAAGGTTAAGTTAAAGGGTTATAGTTTCTGTGAAGAAATGGTTCGCTAAATTTGACTGCAAGTCTCTGAAGACAATTTATTCTGAGCTTTAGATGAAATAAACATCAGCCCACTGTAAAAAAAAAATCTAATTTGGAGAACAAAAAATTGTTTGAGGTTTGTATGCCACGCATGGGTATTCGTACTAACGTTGGATCACTATAGGCACGTGGTAAAAGGGAGGAGTTTTCACTTTGTTCAGCGTTGTAACGGCCAAGGCGGCTTTGATGCAAAATGGAAAAGCCAAGTCCTTCTCCACCTGGTCTTTCTATCGCAGATGAGGTCTCCTTCTTCCTCCCCAACAACCGGCGGGTTCCAAGTTGAAGGTTAGAGCATCTATGTCGAGTCGAATGACATGGCCAAACCAGCGGAGCAGCTGAATTTCGATTTGCACAGGAACGATCCATTAAACTATAAAAACCCATTGAAATCCAGGAGGGTTATTTCGTTCAAATTCTCGAATCCTTCCTCAACAAATCGACAACTTCTTTCACGAAATTACCAAACATTCTTGCCAAATCGCGCGCCAAATTAACACAGCGCAACATACTACATAGAACTCAATAATTTAATTTTATCTGCTAAAATGTAAACAAGACATTTTTCGCAATCGATTTAACAACACCGAAGCAATCAATACAATTACGGCATCGTTTCAATGATGCACACGAAATTCGCGTAAATACATACATACATACATAACTATAAAATTGGTTATCTTCCAATAGCTTTGAACAAAGCAACAAAACGCAGCAGTCTGCAGCAGTCACTTACAAGTGCAATAGTTAGTTGTTGACAGCAGCTTGGCATTTTGTCGAAAAGATGAATAGTGGTGGGGGGGGCACACACGGCGAGTAGCGCTTCCGCAATGGCAGACGCTCGAGTTGACTCGCTGCAACCAATGATGGAGGAAAAAGAAAAAACTGCAGCAGCACAAACGTTATTTCCCACGTCACGTTGATTACAAGTCGGCGTGTTCAAGTGCTCATCGCATTTATCTATCGAGTATGTATGTATGTATGTACATATGTATGCGCTTAACATTGTTTTGGCTGACCTGAGGCGCTAACCGTTAGCGAAACTTATCGATGCATGTACCAGCCGAAAAATAAAGACCTGTACTAGTAGTTGTATAAAGCACGTATATATATATATATGTGTACAACATTTAGTATTGATATAAAAATGGGAATACATAAATATGTACACTAGACCGTACCGGAAAAAAAGTTTGCCATTTCGAAAAAAACAATTTTTCGGCCGTATCTTCTTGTACAGTCGGATCTTAGAGTATGATGTATCGATGTTTTTTTCTCGAGAAGACAAATTTTTTGTTCAAACTTCATTTGCCTCAACTAACCCGTTCTATTTCTTACCGACCAAATCCTAGGGTCTATTCCTAATGTCAGTAAATTATAGCTCTGTGAAAATCATCCAACTTTTGCTAAGGAAGTTTTCTGATTATTCCATTAGAACTATTTAAAAAAAATGCATTGCAGAATGTAGGCAAAAAAAGAAGTTTTTTTTCTAAATTTCCTTGCAAGAATACTTTAGACTCAGGGGTGTACGGTAAACTTTTTTCGTTTGCTTGTCTGGTGGTACGCTCTAATGTACACATATGTATGCATACTCTACGTAAATATATTTATGGTGGCGATATGCCACACCAGAAGAAGCAACAACAGAAGCGAAGACAGCCCGTGGCATCAGCGAGATAAGGAGCCAGTGAGTCAGTCAAAAGGCGGTAATACTTACTTAGTTGCTTATTGAGGATGCCCGTTTTGCTGCTTCACACTTTCTGTTGTCGACTGCAGCAAGCATCTTCAATTGACTAGTTGCACGGCTATGAGTTGCATAAGATCGGTTTGTCCAATTTCGTTGCTACAACATCGACACTTCGTCTTTACTTGCGGAAGTGCATAGAAAACACTTCTATG